TTCATAAAGGAAACTACTCACAAGGTTGCTGAAAACTCTTCGACAGCCCACGACCGGTTTCGTCCTTCTTGGGGCTCATCAGGTAGGTGCAGTCTCCGAGTTTCCGTCAACGTTGTGTTCTAATTGAACCCAAATTGGACTGTTTTCGGGAAATACACTCATTTGCGAATCAATTTGGTTTTCAAGTAGAACATAAGGTTGACGGAAACTCGGGGACTGCGCCTACCCGATAAGCCCGAAGAAGGGCGAAACCGGTCGTGGGCTGTCGAAGAGTTTTCAGCAACCTTGTGAGTAATCTCCTTTATGAAAATATACTGCAATATCTCGAATATCGTGCCAACTGAATCATGAGGCGGCCTGTGTGCAGCACATTCAGTTGTGGAATACCACAAACGAAAGATTCAGTTGAGTCTCTCGTGAAAACCAAATTGATTTGTTAATAAATTATGCCGTTTCGGTCAAACTGGTACGAATGCACAAAACGTTTTCATTGGGAATGAAACAGTAAAATATCTGGTTTCCAACTTTTCCGTGTGAGCAGGTTTGCTCGCTTCATTGAGCACCATAAAACTAACAAATACCTGGAGGGTGTCTTGAGTATTTTGCTCTACCATCGAAAGATACGGAATAAAGAATCAAGGTACTGTGGAGAAGAACGAAGTTGATCGCCCCTAACGTGTAAAGCGGAAGGAACAAGACACCGCCACGCCCCACCCCATGCTTTAACAACGCACGGATGACGTAACCTGGACTGGTGATTCACGGGCTCACTAGCAGACTGTGCGCGAATGACCCCGGTCAGTCGGAAGATCAAAGAGCTGAAACTCACCGACGACTACCATCTGGATTACGCGCTCAAAAACGGAAGTTGTTGACAGTAGCATTTCGTTAGCGTGGAGGACGGATAACTGTCGTCGTTCTTAACCACCGTTCTTGAAGTCTGCACCGCTGCGCCTGCCTATGACTGTAGTCAGCCTATTCTTAATAAGGACCATATACCAGTATGACGATACATGCTGCTGATAAAACATGGAAGTAGTATATCTCTGTCGTATCTCTGTATCCGATGGACGGTTTACATGGTAATTATCGAAATGCGTTGAAGCATTTACTCATTACTGTCTGGTATTCAAACAACGCCCAGGAAAGTTGAATAGGACACCTGAAGACCGTGCAAATCAGGTTTTTACTCTCGTGTCTGATAGCTTGTAACCGCGTAGTTCGTGTCGGTCAGTTGAGGGTTCCGCACTCGAGGCTCTCTTCTTTTCACTTATATGAGCCTGATTTCCAGCTGTACAAGAACACCTACCGAAGATGTGCCTTCATTCCGTTCCGTCCGAACAAAACATGCGAAGGGAGTGTAATAACTGGCCTCCGAGTTATGAAGGTATTTGGATTATAACACGGGTACCTTTGTTGCTCGTGTGAATGAAACTAGGCTGGAACGACTCGTCCATCTGTATCCCCAGCACAGTCCAGAAGGAACATCCACCGGTACGGCGGTCGTATAACCATATCGAGTCATTTAAATAAAATATTGCGGTGAAAAGAAAACCAGAGAGGGACGAAAAGACAGCATAGCCACCACAAAAATTTGAGACGCTTGCACTGTACAGACCAACTGACTGGAATCTGTGCTCCAATGGACCCCGGTTGGTGGCCAACTCTTTCAGGCCAAGTGCCAACAAGTCTCACCTACAAAACCCCGACTTTCGATCTATCCTTTGTCTCACCTTCTAACATTAATGTTCGCAATGAAATTTTCACGCGGAAAGTGAATCCAAAACTCCTAATGGCGACTTTGGGCCTCGGCGTAATAAACAAGCAAGATGTCCACGAATTCGTTAGGAGCTCAGCCCTATGAAACTCAAAGGTTTGTGGGGTGAAAGTTCGTTCAATAAATGGAATTAATCTGTACAGCGGTCAAATCGATCGAATATGTTCACGTGCAGGTGCACGTGACGAATGATCAATAAGACATATTCAAAATACGACAAAGGTTCGAAGCTCCACACCCATGCACAGTCAATGCCTGTCCGATGACGAATAACATAGACATTGCTGTGCGATTCAAGAACCTCAAAAGTCCTGCTATCCCCACATGTTTAAGAGCATGTGGGGATGAAATTTTAGCCAGGATCAAGTCTGGACAGTTGAGCACCCTTCCTACGTGCTGGTATAGCATGGTGCTGGGCGCTGAGGGATTACGCCAGGACAACATTGAAGATGTGCAAGAACTGATGAACCTGATGTTGATGGACAAACGGTTTCCCACCTTGCCCGAGGAGCCGTCCGTCCGCATGCCTGAGTACACCATCTTGTCGACGCAAAGGATATTCGCCGTGCTCTGGGAATTTCTCCATCGATGTAAGGAAAGCCTCCAAATAAAACTGGCCTATCCCACAGCCGGTTGGGTGATATTTGGTCCATCCTATTGGAAGCCATTCGAGGTAGTAAACGAAGCACACTACGTAAAGGAGGTTCGACTGCTACTGGACGATCTGTACGACCGAATTCCGATTAGAAGAGATATGCTGTGTTATACAATGGGATTGATTAGCGAGATCACGAACGATGCCGTGGATCAATGCCGAGATCAGCCATCCTTGGCCTATTTGACACGATATCAACTTGCCCATCAGTTCGGCCCGGTACTATTCTCTATTTATTGTGAAAATTGCAAAACTGAAGTGACCGAACGAAGCCAGACCTGTTCTTACTGCTCAATGGTGTCACAGTTGTTGGACAAGCCGTACGTGGCGGATGTGGTGGACCGCCTTCTTCGTTATTTGCCAAGAGACTTTTGGCGCAACACCTTAGCGATTGCCCAACCTAGCGGATCAATGGCCCAGGTTGATCCGAAACAAATCCACGCGGACATCCAGGCGATGTTCTGTAACATGAAACCATTGCCTACGCCGACAAAGGGAAAACAACCCGTCGCCAGCGGACCCCCATCGGCAACTGCCTCTACCACCACCGCCAACATGTTGGTTCCACCTCCACCTGTAGCTCCAGCTCCGTCAGTTCGGTCAAGACCTTCTCTGATTAGCTCGGTACAGACCAACACCACACAACCGTTACAAACCGATACAGTACAGAGGCCGTCTAAGCAGATGAGTCCACCAATATCCTTGATCGAACCTTCGCTACATTCGCTACTGAGAGAATCTCCGTCGACGGGTCGAAGCCTGTCAGTTGATCCGATTTTGGCTAGCTGGGAACCGCATAAACCATCGAGGCGAGGAAGAAGGACCAAACGATATTCCATCACCCATCGAAGTACCCCTACCCATGAAAGTAGCACTGCAAGTCAGAGGAAAAGTACTTCCACCAGGAGAGCTAAAAAGTCCCACAACTCAAAAAGTACGCGCCCTCCAGCGGTAAGAAAGAAGCCTACCGTGAAGCGAAGCGTAACTGCACATTAGCTGACGAATAAGGTGGAGGTGTTCCAGATCCTCTTGCATGCACGTAATGGGATGTGTTCAACTCAACATAATTACTCCAGCTATTTTTTGACAATTGTTTTGAAAAAGAAATATCCAGGCTGTCAATGTTTACACCGAAATAACTTCGTGGTAGCATTCGACCAGCTTTCGGCTAGGTGTTCTCTTGAGAACACAAGGAACTGTTCTTTCCGTAACCTCGGGGGCAATTCATTAGATGCGGTATATGGTGCTTTTTCCCAAATTAGGCTGGATGCGCCGGTTACGTATTTACTAGTTTTATTCTTTTCAGAGACAGGGACACCTCAGAAAATGAAAAATGACAGCGAATGTACAGGACCGATCATATCAAAGACAGCGTGTAAGATCCTTTCGACGCCTAGCTCCCATGGCACCCGAAGGGGTTGTTCAAACCCACACGGAAGCAATCGAAAAGCTTGAGGCTAGAGGATGGCGTAGAGTGATATACCGTGAAACAAAAAACCCAGGCTGGATTTCTGCTCGTAGCATATGAAGAAATGACCCGAGGTAGCTTCCCAGAGCAAACAATTTCTCCAGAAATTTCGGCGGTTTCGCAATCAGACAAACGCCTTCCTAATTTATCTTTTATAGACACGCTTAACCATCGCTTGCTGAAAAGTGTCATTTTCCGCGCCCAAGTCAGAGTGACGGAAGCAGAGGGATGGCCAACATTTGGCCTGGCAGAAGGGTTTGAAATAGTTTACGAAAATCTGGGTGCGGTCGGTGTGATTCGCCTGGTTGGGGACGCTGCAAGATATGGCTGCTGATCGATGCACTGGTTAGTTTCCACCCAGGTTATCTTAGTCAGTGTCTGTAGGTGTGGACACCTCGGAATGATTGAGGTAAACTAGTTGTAAGTCCCTTCCCTGTCCAGTCTTACTCTTTTCTTCACAACAAGGCTTTCGAATAAAAATCGCAGTAGTGCGATAGCGAAGTATCAGCGTTGAACATTGATGTTATGCTATCGGTGATGACGAAATAAATCTACGCTGCACACCTGAAAAATGTAAAGTATTGCGGCGGGACTAAGTGGGATGAAACCTGAACTCGGTGTTTACAGATCAGCCGACCGATGTGGTAGATAAAATCACTTACCTTAGCAAGCGTGTGAGTTCCGGTGGACCGATTGGAGACGAGATTAACCCTCGAATAGGGAAGAACAGGACAATTTTTGTCAACCTCCGACAGCTGTTGTGCAGGTGTGATATCAGTTTGTCTAGCTATGGCACAGTTTACATTGCTGCAGTGCGACCTATACTGTTTTATGGGTCGGAAACTTTGTGCGAAAGCTGTCAGGGTTTGACCATCAGTGTCTCCGAAGCTCTGGTCGGGTTGGTGAGAACAGTGGATTAGCAATGTTGATGTACACAAGACGGTCCTAGGATGAAGGAACTCTTCCGCGATAGATGAATTACAGATGTACACAAGATGGTCCTAGGATGAAGGAACTATTCCGCGATAGATGAATTACTCACGCTGCGTAGGTTACGCTTGTCAGATAACCGTCTGCCCCGCAGAGCTGTTTTCGCCCAGCCCTGCGCTGAGTGGAAGCAACCGAACTGCGAACGGATCATGAAATCACTAAATCGACAACTGCCGCCTTCCCGGATGGGGACCCCGAGACGCAACCCACCAATGACACTGACAGAAATGACCCTATCACGCAGTCAGTGGCACTGGTGAATCAAAGTCAGTCCCCTTAGTGTCCCAAATTAACTGATCATGTCCTCCAGTGTCCGAAGTCGTGGGAAGTGGAACCAACGTACCCTTGATAGAGGGTTTCTGACTTATTTCCTAACAGTCAATGAATTGTGGAATGTAGCAGATTTTACATTCAACCATAGACTTGAAAAGATGGTATGTGATGAACTTTGCTTGACCGTTTCACGTAAGACTTCGACCCATGGACCTTTCGGTCAGAAAGTTCGAGCCGCAACGATTGAACTACCTCAGACGAAGAGACGAGGAAAGGTCACGCGGAAGGGCATGAAACAGGTAATCAGATAATGATTATGGCCGAACTAGCTTGCTAACGTTCTTGTTACCAGAACTTAGATGAGAAGAACGACCGTGCTGGCTGGACGTAACATGTTACTAGTGATAAGGTTGTTGAAAACTCTTCGGAAGCCCGCGACCGGTTTCTCCCTTCTCCGAGTTTCCGACAACCTTATGTTATGCGAGCGGGACAACATAGAGGAATGATTCAGCTGCATTCCGTTGAGTCTCCTGTCAAAACCCAAATCGTGTGCAAATGAGAGTGGTTGTCTTTTTTCCATAAAGGAAACTACTTACAAGGTTGCTGAAAATCCTTCGACAGCTCACGACCGTTTTCGCTCTTCTTGGGGTTCATCAGGTGGGCGCAGTTCCCAAGTTTCCGTCAACCTGATGTCCTACTTGAACCCGAATTGGACAGTTTTCGGGAAATACACTCATTTGCAAATCAATTAGGTTTCCAAGAGAGACTCAAATGAATCTCTCGTTTATGATATTCTACAACTGCATGTGCTGCACACAGGTCGCTTCATGATTCAGTTGGCACGATATTCGAGATATCGCAGTATATTTTCATAAAGGAAACTACTCACAAGGTTGCTGAAAACTCTTCGACAGCCCACAACCGGTTTCGCCCTTCTTGAGGCTCATCAGGTAAGTGCAGTCCCCGAGTAGTTGTCGACTGTGCCTCGACCTCGTTTCAAAACTCTTAGCACTGCTGTTGTGAACATGGCCCACATGAATCACAAGATGAAGCTGGGGTGATCACCGAAATCCACAGGCATCGAACTTTCCAAGCCTTGAGTAGACTGGAGTTGAGAATTTGTGTGCTCTCCGCGTCGCGAGACAAGAAATTTCCCCTACTTAAAATATTCATCGATAACCCTAGCCCTCATTCCAAATGTCACTATCGATGATATGGTAACGGACTTCGATCCTCAGTTACAGAGTTAGCTCCGTCAAGATTTGTGGAGCAGCGGATATCTCGATCACTAGAGACCCGATTTCAGGGGACCAATTCCTTCGAAGCAGTCAAGAAGCCAACAATTCCAGAGCAATCTAGGTGACATACAAAGACGTACGTAACCGCTCTAGAGAAGCCACTGCGCGCAAAAACGACGCAGGACGGACGGAGTCATCAGTCCAAAGTGCTGACTCTACAAGGCGAAAGTTATAAACGGGGTGGGGAGAGGGGGAGCAAAAAGTATGTGAAAGAGAAAGAAGGAAGGCGTCAGTAGTAATCCGTTTTCGCTTACCCACCCTGCTGTATGCAGCAAGTAAGGCGACCCGGCTGGTGACACCACGTGACAACCGATGTGGCATGTGCTTAGTTGTACATGTGTGATTCATGATTGTACGTGGGTTGGGATACTGCCAGGATGACCAGATCTAGACAGGAGGACGATTAGACTGATCAACCAAAGCCTTTGGCTCAAAAGTCTAACCGCTAGGTAGCAGTGATTGGCGGGAAATACAAGTACATCACCCTTTTTATGGAACAAGTCCCCATACATGTTCCACCCCCAACCGGCAGGACCAAGAGACTGCGTTTGTCAAACCTCTAACCATTGACCGACCTGGCATGACAGTGTCTGTGAGTGTCGCGCCCCCCAGTATATTTCAGTTGGTAGCCGAGGTACACAAAACCACCCCCTTGTACTGCCGGCAATACGCCTGAGTATGGGTGGTTCCGCTGATTTTGTTGTTCATATGTTCGGCAATTCGCTTGCAAACGTCTTGACACCATGCGAGAAGACGTGGTAACGAAAATCCAACAACAGGAGTACGCCCTGAACCCTGACCATATCTTCCACCTCAAACTGTATTCATTCTTTCGCGCATAACGCTGTGGAAGTTTATTTATGAAGCTCAGAGCCCGGGTAGAGGATCACGAGCCTAAATATGTCCTGGGCACTTGGGATCAAGTCATTCAGTCCACGTTTTTCCGGAATCGCGTTGCTTCCATCATCAAACGCCTAATCCACGGTGAATTCAGTCTTCCAAGTTATCAAAACAGGTGAATGGTCCTGATCGCTGATCTTTCCTGAAGTTTCGATAAGCATACGTGCTGAACACCGATACTGTGCTGTCTGTACTACTTAGGTCAAGCGTCGTCTGTTCTTCCCGAGTCACACTGGACATCTTTGTTGTTCCACGTGGCCCAGTTAAATTTCCGCTATTCGCCTATTCATCACCTACGCGACGCGCATCGCGGTTGACGGAAGCGTTCGAAATAGCACCATTTTTTACAGACTGTCTGCTGTCGTTATCCCAGACAGCCTACTACGTAATGGCAAGAGAGAAAGTGTAGTCTTGTTAGTTTGTCTAAGGAAGATGGCCCTTTTAAAGGTCACTTTTCAGATGAACGCATCGGGGGAGGAACAAAACGCACCAGAGAATTTGCGCTCAGCTGGTAACTCAAATCACTGTGGACTTGCACACGGTTTAAGGTGAGAAAAAAAACAGGTCAGCTTGTTGGTATGTCCCTCTCACAAGAGTGGTCAAAATCATGATTGGGTAAGGCTATACGATTATTGGACGTGTTGCCACTTTCCATCAAGATATTTGCGGATCACGGGACCTTCTTGGTCTGCTGTATGCAACTCTGCCACGCCAACAGTCCGGTCGTATCTATTCCAATAATCTTCGGCTTCCCTAGTTCGGGACATCTCTTTCAGTACAGGGCAATACTCTCTGTCAACGTCCGGCAATATCATTGGAGAATGTGTAGTAATGAACGATGAAATGGGCTAAGAATGTCGCACGCCTGAACGCTTGTGACAACCAGGTACCTTAAAAACCCCAAAATTCGCCCAGTCAGTAACGCATTGGACGTTGCATCTCATGAGTTTGGCTTGTTTTAGCCAAACCGTCCAAAGACAATATCCTCAGGAATCACGCATAGGGAGAGAGAAGACGGATGCACTTTAAATCTACTAATATTTGCCTGGAAAGGAATGGACGAGCACAAAAGTGATGCCGAAAGTCGCCAGCCTCAGTGCAGAGCTCTCAGCCATAATCAAAAGTGGGAAATGACAGGGAACGTGATTGCCGTAGAAGTATGATAACGCATTTACGAAGACTACTGCGCTATTCCGATGACACCACAGGCCAGACGTCCACCGGCGTTCCCAGTGGTTTTGCTGAATTCGTGACCTCCTCGTCCAAGATCATCCTCCCCTTCGTGTACCTTTGGAAAGAAGAAATCGAGAGAAGCAGACCAGCATAAACTAGAGAACCAGCTGAATTCAGTTGTGAGTGTGCTATCGAAACCAAATTAGTGTGCAAATAAGAGTAGTTGTCGAAATCGGATATCAATTTTGTGCGGATCTGTGGAAGCACCGTAGGCGTGTGCAATGACGGCAGGTTTGTGGATAAAAATCTGGGTTAAGACAAGCAATACTTTCAAATTCGACAGATTCTTTCAAGCACAAGTTTGTAGATAAAAAGTAAAACACTGAAAACGAATAAAAGTGGTAATCCCAAAGTGCGGGACTTTTGTGGGTAGGAATTAAAAGGAAACTACGGCACCAAGAAATGCTTGCTCGTCGGACGGCTTTCTTAAATCACCTTATCAAGTTCGACGGATGTCTCCTTCAGGTCGAGATAGTTCAGTGGCTAAGGTGTGAAATTAGTGAGTGGAAGGTCTGTAATTCGACCCAATCCCGGCATCTCGATTGTTCCCGTCTAGGCTTGAGGAGTCTGACAGTATCACAGCCCTCGTGCTTCCATCGGGTGACACGGCAGTTGGGCATCGGGTGTTACGGGGCGAGATAGCCCAAGTGGTTAGAGTGCGAATTTACTGGCCGAAAGGTTCGTGGTTCGAACCCGAACTCTGCCTCTGGACTTCCCCTGCCTAGGCTTGGGCGACTAGGCAGTATCCCAGCCCTCGTGCAACCTTCGGGTGGCATAGTAGTTAGGCACCGAAAGGGTGCTACGGCTGAATGATTGTTTTTGTCTCCTTCAGCATTCACTGCATGCAAACGTATGCCACATGCAAGCCTGATGGTCCAATAAATCGGCGGAAGTGTTCGAAGAGTCATTACTGTCAACCACAGTTCCCCGCACCCGACGATTCCAATCAAAAAAAGCATGCACATAGCACTTCTTGGGCCCTCAATGAGGTTGTCCATTTTTGAGAGGATAACTGATGGAAGCACGTTTTACGGGCCACTTGTTTTGTCTTATACTAGGACAGCTATCGAATTAATTTTGACAGCAGGCTGTATTTTAGTACCAATTTTCATTGGTCACGGGATTTTTGAAACTTGTATTCACGTGGCTTTGTTTGAATAGTCACTTTCGTGTCCCGACCCAAACGGGGAAGAACTAGAGTTAATTTTCGCTCACACTAGGACTCACGATTGGCTGTATAGGGTTTGAATCCCAAAAATCCGATATAGGAAGAAAGCGGGTTGCCGCTACTCCACCAATACACGATGGTCGCATCACACCGAAGTGATGAAATCGATCGGCTCGGTAACTATCCTGCTTGCGCAGATGGACTGACCCACCTGTCGGAACATCGGAATCCGCTAGCACCACGGAAGTTGAAAAGTTGCCGAAGAATTTTTGTGATTAGTTCCACTCTCGTTCAGCTGTAGCACCTTTCCGGTGCCTAACTGCCATGCCACCCGAAGGTTACACGAGGGCTGGGATACTGCCGGGTTCCACGGACAGGTCAGCAATCAGAGCCATCTCGTCTCTACCAGTGATCGGGCCCCAAGTCAGGCGAACAAAGAATAAACGGAGTTCGGAGTAGGGAAACACAAAGCTTGGTACGGTGACCAAAGGAGCGAGACAATAAATGGAACATCACTGTAACACGCAAACTGGTCAAGTACAAAAGAACGGATCGTGGATAATGGAACTAACCAACCGAAACGTCACGTAGTAACGATGAAATGTCAAGTAAATGTGACTCACAACCATCGTCCGACCAACTATGGAGTTGGGGCCGCTGAGAGAAATGACTTTGTCGGTGAATACGTGTTGGGCAACACCTTGGGCATTGGCTTCGACATTACCAAGATCGCCGACATGACGAACCGGATCCTCCGGTGCACCATGGTCTACTCCGGTCGGGTTGAAGTGGGGTCCGGCAGACACACAACCATTTGTCGTGTCGCCAAACACATGGACGTGAAAACCATGTTTGCCGGGTGTGAGGCCCGTGATGTGAACATCGACCGTGACAGGTCCGTTTTCAACCTAGTTTGAAATGGTAAAGTAGGACTTGAGACAAACTAGAAACCGTCTAGAGTCACTTAATCAAAAACCTAAGACGGGTAAGTTAGGTTCCTCTTGCACAACATCGCTGAATACTATCGAAACGATGGCTTTCTGTTTCCCAAAAGGGTTTCGAACAGTGTGGCAAGCGCAGATCAGTCCCACCCGATGTACTCCTGTCACTTAGAACCGACAAAGCAGGGACAATAGGGTTGACCTTGCCTCAACATAGGAAACTTGCTATCTCATTGCGACAGTGCGCACTGAAGAAGCCGAGCGACCAGTCTTATTACACAGATGAGGCAGACACTGAGGATAACTCAGAACACAAGTCCCTTCTCTGTGTTGTCCTCATTCAAAATTCAAATTGAGCGAACCACCAAACTCCCGTACTTAGGAGACGATCCACCAAGTAACGCAATGACGTGATGGGAAAATTGCAGGTGCAACCGTTATTCTCACTAGCTAAGCCATCTGATACTCTGCATAGCATATCTAATTGCGGAGTGAAAACTTCAACACTCCCTGATTTGACTGGTAGGACGAATCTCTGGGGTAAACAAGCTTCTTCTTCTTCTTCATCATTACCATCACCATCGGCAGCATGAAATCAGTGTTCAGCACTGATGCTTCACTGACGTACAACCATGAAAGACACCGTCTCCACGAAGCAGCAATCTTGATGTCAAAAAGGCACATCGGTAAATCTTATGGGCCGCGTGTACCAGGCTACAGTAAGGGTTGTGTTGTTGTATTTGTGCGAGACACGGCCTCCGCAGAGAGATGATGTGAGGTGTCTCTAGGTTTTAACTACTGATGCCTCAGAAGCAGGGCTGGTTTTGGATGGCGTCAGCGTGTTAGTAACGAGGTGATTGGAAGGCGGGTATTTGGTTGTGTGGCAGGTACTTCAATCGGAGAAAACACCCGGCACCACCAACTACGAGGGCTTGGTCATGTGCTACGCATGCCGAAACACCGTCTACCGAGACGAGTGTTGTCTCCGTGCTTCCTTCAGAATGGCACAAACCACGAGGTCGACAACGCATGACTTGGCAGAAGGGCGGGGAAGAAATCACGAAGAGGTTGGGTGTTGTACGCCTCCCAGAATGGGGCCCTCGTGACCACACCTGTGCTTGGCTAGAGACGTTGCAAGGAATGGTGGCTGATCTATGTGGGTGGCGTTCGTGCTGTCAGTTTCTTTTCAGATTGACTGAGCGCTTGGAGGTGTAGGCACCTCAAACTGCTTGACGTAGGCCAGCACTAGGTCCCCTCCCTCGCCCACTTTTTTTCTCTTCCCTTCACTCTACGGCTTTAAATATAATTAGACGAACCCTATGGCTGTGCGGCAATGAAGCACCAGTGCCAACACTGATGTTGCTGTCTTTGATGATGATGCGATTTGCCACTCATCAACTGAGGGACATGTCAGACATCCACCAGATGAGCCGCGTAATGGATCGCTTTTCCGCGACCGAGGTACGCCTGAATGTGCCACCGTACTGAGATTGACAAGCTAATCTTGAAGTTGGCAATCGATTCCAGTTTCTCTCAGACTCCATGAGTTTCCGTATGTCGACGACCCTACAAAGATGCATCTGTGTTGCTGAAAGGCAACCAACCTATGAAACCTCCCGACTTGTCACCCACGACAATGTCTATCTAGCCTGTACCATGAAAAGTTGGCCAGCTCATACTTCACAATAGTCTTGACCAACTTGGAAGAAGCACCCAGTCATTGGCAAGTCTCCGGTACAACGGGGATAAAGGGATGATTGAGTCCTTTCGCAATGCGCATGGAGAATTTAACACTAAACTACATGAGTGAACCACAAGAAACCGTGAATTTGAGGTTCACAATATGATTTTTCGAGCCAATACCAATTTTCGTAGCGCAACGAGTGTGCTAAAGTTCAAGGTGGTTGGAACAAAGGATACGCACTTAACGGATGACGGAGGAAAATGCGGGACACTACTCTGTAAAGTCAACAGTAGTCTACACCCCACACACTCAGCCTTTGATACATAATCAATCACTGATTAGCCTAACATTAAAAATCGTTACGTTTAACGGTGCTCCAATCAAAAAAACTGACAACTAAACGACTTACCTCTTGTGTAAAAGTGGCCTTGCCTTGAACACCCACATCACCTTTTAGTACACAAACTGCCTTCATAGTTAGCTGCGCTCAGAAGACTCACGCTGAAAACAAAAAGTAACGACGTATAGCACTGCGTGCATATATATATATATATATATATATATA